GAGTAACAGTGAAATGGGGACATTCAGGCTACGCCCCAGGACTGGGGAAGGAGAGGAGGCTGCGGGGGCTGGCCCAGGGGGCTGGGGGGCCGCGCGGGCACTCACTGCGGGCCACGAGCTCCCCCTGCAGCTGGTGCCGGGCCAAGTCGAGCACCCAGAACACGGCGTAGTCCAGGAAGACCAGCAGCAGCGCGAGCAGGAGGTGCCGGATGAGGTCGAAGGCTTCCAGGATGTAGGAGATCTGCTCCCACTGGGACAGGAAGATGGAACCTGGGGGCGGGGGGCGGTCAGGAGGGTGCTCCCCAGTTCTCTCACCCTGGCAGGTGGGAAGCAGTCCTCAAGGGCAGGGGCTCTGCAGCCAGGCGTGGGGGCCTGCCATCCACACTGGGGCCCGGCGGCCACTTCCGGTCTCCAGGAATCCCCCTCCTGGGCCCTCCTTGACCCCCCGCCTCACAGGCAGCGCCATGCCAGGCTGCACCCCCTCCAGGGCACACGCATATTTCCAGCCCCGTCCCCTCCAAGCCTTCCCAGCCTCTCGCCCTCATGGGGCATCCACCCCCTACCTCTCCCACCCCTCTGTCTGTCTGCCGCTATGGGGGCCTCCTCCCCCCTTTCACACAGAGCGTTCCCCCAGGACAGGACAGTGTCCCTCTGCTCCGCCCCCGCAGCCTGAAGCTGCCTTAAGTCCTGGATTGTTGCTCCCCAGCCTGGTCCCGCTCCAAGCCCAGCCTGGTGGGGTTGGGGGCAGCCCCGCGTCCCCCAGGGCCCTCACCGGGCTGGATGTAGTGGCCGGCCTCGTGGGCGCTGAGCGGCAGCACCGTGGGCAGGCCCGCCGTGGAGCGGACGGCCTCCATGCGCAGGAATCGGCGGGTGATGTAGATGTTGTCGTAAGTGTCCCAGTTCAGGTAACAGTAGCGGTAAAACAGGGCCCTGGTGCAGCGCAGGGGGGCCCTCAGCGCCCCTGAGCCGGCCCCACGGCCCGCCCTCCTGGCCCCAGCAGCCCCGGCCCCGCCTCACTGCAGGTAAAGGAGCATAAGCAGCAGAGGCGTGGTGAAGCCCATCAGAGCCAGGGCCTCTCGGATCCGGTGCAGCTTCATGCTGACAGCCTCCTGCAGGTCCAGGGCCACCTGGGACAGGCTCCGGGATGCGTTGAGATCCACAGAGAAGTGGTGGGTGGTCGTCATGTTGAACTCAAACTCCCGCCGCACCCGATTAATCAGCTTCTTCACGGCTGGGGCCGGCAGGTCCCGGAGACGGACACGTGAGCAAGGACAGTTAGGAGGGGACAGAGCCGTCCCTGGGGGAGGCCTGGCACCGCGCAGGCCAGCAGGACGCCCCAGGCTTAGACCGACGGTGCACGGGCCGTGCCACCCGCTGCGGCTCAGCACCCCTGCCCACGTCCGCGGTGACCCCCACGGGGACGGCAGACCCTGCTCTCCCCGCCCCTGTGCCAGGGACACCGGCCCATGCGACCTCCCCAGGGCCCTCTTGCTCTGGCATTGTTGCCCGGGGCTGGGAGCACGCTGGGGCTGGCAGCGGCCACGTGGGGACAAGCTGGGGGACGTCCCGGGAGCTCCGCGTGTGGCCGGGCTCAGAGGGGTCACTCACGGGTGCCTATGGTCTTGTGCAGGAATGGCTGGATGTACTTGGGGATGACGCAGAACACCTGGACCACTGCAGCAGAGACTGCGTGTCAGGAGGGGCGGAGAGCTGGGCCTGCCTCTGCCCCCTCCACCTCCGACCTCCGGGGCCCTGCACCTTCCTCCTGGCCCCAAAGCCTTTCAGCTGCTCCCTGTCACCTCCCTTATGGCATTCTGGGCCAGCATCCTTACTGGCCCTATATTCATCAGCCCCTATCGGTCCCCTGGGCCTGCCTTCCCCAGAAACCCCTACATTTGCGGGCACGATGCCGCCGGCAAGGCCCTGGCTCGCTCACCACTGGCAAGTCCACAGAGCACCAGCTTGAAGGGCATGAGCACGTAGCACAGGTGGTAGGCGTGCGGTATGACCGTCATGCAGCTGTCCTTGGCGTCATCGAAGACCCGCGCGCACTTCAAGTAGGGGTTGCCGAGCTCCGCGTTGCACACGTCTCCGATGTGCAGGAGCCAGTGCCACACGCTGCGCAGGGCCCTGGCTGGGGACAGCTATGCGCTGGTGCCGGGCCGGAGACCTCGGCTCGTTCTTGGGGTCAGGGACACCGGGGTAGCGCCCAGAGCCGGGGAGGCTGGCGGTCAGCGGCCTGGCCGGGCTGTATCCCTGGGGACTAGTGAGCACCCAGGAGGGGCCCCGAAAGTGCTGGACAGGGTGAGGGTGAGGAGACGGGCGAACTTTGAACCCCACACACAGACGGGCCGCCAAGCTGACCTATGTGCTTCACGCCGTCCATGATGGAGCGGAAGAACTTGCGCAGCCGGTCGGCCACCTCTTTGGCCTTCCGGGCAATGGCTTTAATCTTGTCCAGGGCACCTGGGAGGCAGGGGCAGGGGCACGTGGGGTCTCCTCCAGGGACTGGTTCCCACCAGTGCCCCGGGCTAGGGAGCAGAGTGGTGCGGCCTGGGCGCTCGGGCGAGGGAGGCGGCTGGTCCGGCAGGGGGACAGGCCACAGAGGGCCAACGAGGGCTCCAACTGGGGCCCAGCGCCACGACAGAGGGATGCAGCCAGCGGCCTGGAACTCGCGGGACAAGGGGGACGTGGGGGCCACGGGAGGTGGGCGCCTTACTGACAAGGGGCTGCTTAGCCCGTTCCAGCATCTCGGCGGTCTGGTTCAGGGCCAGCTCCGCCCCGCAGGCCACAGCCTCGCTGGCCCGGGTGAAGTTTCTCAGGGTGTTGGCGCAAGGCCCTTGCAGCACCAGCCCAAAGGCAGCCACCAACAGCAGTGTCCGGCCCTGCTCTGGGGGTGCAGCTCGATCAGAACCGGGACCCCCGCACGTGGCAGCACATCCAGACCCCTTACAGAAGCCTCCAGAGTGTGTCCCTCTGCCTGCTCCATGCCCAGGCCCCGCCTGCAGCCTCTGCCCCGGGACCTGCCCCTCCCACTGGGTGCCAGCTCACTGGAGAAGGCCTGGGGCAGCAGCAGGAGGACCGTGACTCGGGCCTGGCGGGAGAACCCCATGCCCAGGCCGAGGAAGGCGGCCAGGGTCAGGGTGCCCACCAGGCAGCCCCAGGGGCTGTGCCCTTCTCCCAGGAGCTCCAGGAGCCCGTAGGCGGTGGCCAAGGACAAGCCCAGGCTGAAGCCCCCCACGCTGCAGACCAACGCCCGCGCCATGCTCGGCTCCCCTGCCCCCAAGGGGCGGACGACGTCCTCCGGGTCTTTGGGCATGGCTGCTGAGACAAGCGTTCGCCCGTCTCCAGGAGACGCCCACCAAGCTCCCGGCTCGTAAAGGATCCCGGAATTTCTCACCGCATTCTGAGGTTCCGGGGGCTTTTTCTGCGTGTGCCTCGGAATTCCTTCCCCAGCTGCAACGACTGGGGCGGGAATAGGTAGGTCTTGATTCTCCGTCCCCACGTGTCAGAGCGAGGGATTGGAGGACACAGGCCTCAGACGCGCTGTGGGTGAGACAGAGGAGGCGGAGGCAGGACCTCCCGTCCGCGGATATCCTTGAGGAGACTTCTTGAGTGAGAGAGGGTGCCCAGGGCAGGCTATGGTCACCATACTTCAGCAGAATGGACCAAAAGGCCGGAGGAGGAGACCGCCCCACACCAGTGAGCCCGCCGCCCCGCCCGGCGCCCCGAGGCCCCAGTCCTCTCATTCAGTCTCCTCCAGGACCCCTTCCCCTCACTTTGGGGTCCCCGTGCCCTCCTCCAGCCGAGCCCTTTCTTCTTCTTTCCCTCAAGTCTGCCTCGCCTCCTCCGGGATCCCCCAAGTTCCCGCTACCCTCGTCCAGGTCCCCCCTAGTCTCCCCCCCGCTCCCAAGCCCCTATGCCTAGCGAACCAGGCCCCCCGCCCGAAGAGCGGGGTGTCGGCCCGGCTGCGCTAACTCTCACACCCCTCAGCGGTGCAGAGGCTCCTGAGCTGGGGGCTGCCCACGTCCTGGGGCCGGTTCCTGTGGCGCCAGCCGGGCGACTTTCCCGTCACTGCTTTCCTGCTGGGGGCAGGCACCGGGGGCCTCCTGGCCATAGGTGAGCGTGGGGCAGGGGCCAGGAGTGGGACCCTCCCTCGGCCTTTGCCTTGACCTGCGCCTTCAGGTCTCTTTCAGCTCCTGGTGAACCCCATGAACATCTACGAGCATCAGAAGGTGATGGTGTTGTACGGCTTGGCGGGTTAGTGCTGGGCCGAGGACAGAGACGCCCACGGGCCTGTGGGACACGGCCCAGTGCCGTGTGCCCAGGGGGAGTCTGAGCGTGTTCCTTCTGTACCCAAATGTGTCTTGTAGCCTCAGCCCGGTCTTGGGCTTTGAGGGGAGATGCAGAAGGAGGAGGCCCCTAGTCTCTGGGAGAGACGGGGTCCTTATACCCTGGGGGACTGCTCCATCTGAGGGGCTCCCCGTTACCCACTCGGTGCAGCTCAAACCCACAGCCCTTCCTAAGCCCTTCTCTCCTCGCCTCTCTGGCCTCGTTTCCTGCTGCTCCTGAGAAGGTCAGTTCATTCATTCGTTCGTCCATTCGTTCATTCAGCACTAACTGGACCCCCACTGAGGATTGAGCAGGAAACGAGGTTGGCAAGCGCTCAGCTCTTTTTGAGTTTAGTTCTAGTGGAGAGAGTTGGAGGATGAACGAGCAAGAAACAAGCGAGAGTGTTTCTGGTAGTGACAAGTGATATAAAAAAAAGTGACAGGGAGGGGCCGGGGAGCTGCCTCAGCTTGAGCAGTCAGGGCGGGCTTCCCGGAGAAGGTGCCGTTTGAATGGACACTTTGTATCAGGAGGTGTTGGGCTGCGAGAACAGAACAGCCACCGGAGATGGTTTGTCATCTCATGTAACAAGTTTCAAGGCAGCGGGGTTTTGAAGGCTGGCGAATTCTGCAGCTCAGAGGGCCCAGCCACCCAGGGCCCAGCTTCTCTTGTCATCTTCCTCTGCCGTCTGTGCCCCGCCAACCGCTCCTCCTCGGCTCGCAAAATGGCTGCAGCAGCGCGGGGTGTCGCACCTTTATACGACTGTGTCAAAAGACCAGAACGTTCCTTCTCGATGTGTCTTTCGAGCACCAGGACAGCTTTGCTGTGATCCACCCCCCAGCCCGCTTCCCCTTGCGTGTCCTCGGCCAGAGCTGCAGCACGTGCTCCTGAACCCACCCAGGGAGGCCGCGTGGGATCCACTCCGTCGCCAGTCTCTGTGGGCCACCAACAGGACACTCTGACCACTGCGTTCTAAGCGACTCTCACCCCCGATGACCTTGGACACAGACCCTGAGCTTTCTGGTTATTTTCATTTAGAAGGCCTGGTTCTGCTTCGGTAATTATGACTATTTTTAGGTTTAAAAGATCCAATCCAGTCCACATCAGAATTTCAATCTCAAGTCTATTCCCCAGCCTCTTCCCTCCCTCGCCGGCCCAACCCGCTCAAGCCTGACCCCGGGCGGGGGCTGGGGTGGGGGATCCTGGTGGAGAAGGGGCCACGGCCCCTCCTTCGACTTTTTGTCCACTTCCTTCCCCTCTGCTGCTTCTGATGTCAGAAAGGGGATTAGAAGAATTAGAGGAAAAAGGACAGAAGTCTGAAGTCACCGATACCGTTATAATCCCATCACGTCTGTGTGGCAGGGGCTCACTCCCTGGCTGTCTTGGGGACCATTTCTGGTCTCTGGAGGCTCCGTGTGGACCTCGCAGTGCCCAGGTCCCGCTGAGAGCAGTCCCCCGTGGCTGGCCTTGAAGGACGCCCTCCATACATGGCTCCCGCAGGCCACCCCTACTTTTGACTTTTGGTTGCCTCCCCCAGACAGGTGCCCTCTTGGATGGGGAAGCTCGCAGATGACTTGAGGCCCGCCGCCCTCCAAAACGGCCACTCGTCCCCGAGGACACGCACACCCCCAGCCCCGCCCAACTGGCGGAGCGGGGCACCTCGCAGCGGCCCTCCTCTTGCCATGATGAGCAAGTCCCGTCTCTGAGTTCATGTTCCCCACGCTCCCCAGAGATCCTGCCGAGCCGTCGCCCCAACTCGCCCCTGCTCTGTGCTCCAGTGGCAGCCCAGGCGTGGCGCCACGGGCCTCTGCAGCTCAGCAGGCCAGCCGGGGAGAGGGGACAGTTCCCCTGGTGTGTCTCACTTGACGCGGGGCGTGGAGGCCTGCCCTCGCCACGGGCTCGCCGCCTAGGTCTGCCTGCTCCCACCGCGGCCCTCCACTTCCGGGAAATTTACATTTCTCGTCTTGTCTGTATGGAGCCGGTCGCCGTGGGCGACAGGGCTGAGAGACGGGCTTTGCTCCTGGGCACCCAGAGGGTGTCTGCAGCTCCTGGGACCCTCTCTAGAACGCAGGGCAACTCTTGTCACCTATCGTCCTCAGCCCAAGTCTTCGGCCAATAGGCCAGGAGCACAGAGCGAGACCCTTTCGATATCCGGTTTTACCGTGATCAGGTTAGACAAATACAGAGCTGCCCCAGGGGCCAGAGCGGGGACAGGCCATCGCCCTTGAACAAAACCCAAGTTGTGTTAGCAAGGAAGAGAGCAGAACACTGCTGGGTGGTGCCCGGCAGGGCTTGCCGCAAACCCGTGTGACTAGGTGGGGCCGGCCAGGTGAAGTACAGGGGAGGGTGCTCCTGGCACGGGGAACGGCCAGGCGAGGACCCTGGGGGGAGGAATGAGCTGGGCACGGTCCAGGAGCGGCACCAAGGCCTGTGTGGGTGGACGTGGAGGGCGGAGGGCTGAGGAGCATGACGCCACTTCGGGAGCCGGGCAGGGGCCAGATGCAGGAGTCCGCACGTGCGGAGGAGCTGGGCTCTGACTCAGTGTGGGAGAAAGTCGTTGGATGGTTTGAAGCAGAAAAGGGATGTGATCTGACTTCCGTTTTCACGAGATCACGGCTGCTTTGTGAAATCCAAGTGCAGGTCAGCGAGACAGGAGACTGGGTAATCCTGGTGAGAGATGCGGGGGGACCTGGGTGATCCCTGGGCGGGCGCGGTGGACACGGGACTCTTCCAGCTTCCCCGACCAGCTCATGCTGCTCCCCTGGCCTGGAATGCCGTCTGCCTCGGAAAGACACTTACTCATCTCCCAGGCCCAGCTGACACATCCCGTCCTTTGTCCAGCCTTCGCGGCCCCACCCCGCCCCGCAGAAGGGCCCACTCCCTCCTGGCTCCCACCGCCTGAGAAGCGCCTCCCTGTGCCCTGAGCACCACGGGCTGTAGTCATTTGTTTACTCGTCTGTCTCTCTCCCTGGATTACGAGCTTCAAGGAGCTCACTGTCTCCTGCCAGAGACCACAAGGAGACACATGCGGACCTACTAGAATGTACTAGAAGGGACATGCTTAGGAGCTGAGTGAAGGACGAGACCGTGGTGCTGCAGGTGTCAGAGCATGGGCACGCCGAGGTGGCCGCGACCGCCCCTCTCGCTGTTCCGAGCGCCAGCGCCTGTTTCCAGAACGTTTCTCCTGTTCTCTCTGCTCCCTCGGCACCTAGGCTAAGTGGGAATCCAGCCCGGAAACGGGAGGCGTCGGCTGCCTTCCCTGACACAAACACGCACACGCACACGCGCACGCACACGCACGCACGCAGAGTCAATCAGCGACCCGGCGTCAATCTCGCCACCTCTCCAGGTCCTTCCAGAGACTGACACGCAGTCGAGCTCTCTAAACGGCTGCTGAGTAAATGAGTGCATGGGTGGCCCGGCGGCCCATCAGAGTCACTGCGAATGGGGACGAGGGCAGCGTGGGGGTGCTCCCAGAGGGACTGGGGGTGGCACTCCGGTAAAGCCAGCTCCCTCACCGCCTTGCCGCCTCCTGGGCTCTCCTGACAGGCTTCGGGGCCGCAGGCTGGGGGACCTCCCCCCACATCCGCTGTGCCAGCCTCCTGCTGGTGCCCAAGATGCTGGGCAAAGAGGGCCGGCTCCTGGTGCTGGGGTACGCCTTGGCCGCCATCTACAAGGGTGAGTGCACCCCTGGGTGCCGGTGCGTGGCTCTGAGGCAGTGGCGTGGACGGGACACCCAGCAGGAGCCAGGCCCCGTGAGGGAGTGAGGGTGGGAGCCAGGCTGGGCGGCCCCATCTCGCTGCATGGCCCTGACAGGGGTCCGCCGTCCCTGGACCTCCTTAGTTGATGCAGGTGAGAAAGGCAGGGGTGGGACGAGAAGGCCCCGCTCTAGAAAGGGGTCACCGCGCAGAGCGGGAGCGCGGGGCAGGCTGGAGAAAGCTCCTGAGCTCCACGGGGCGACCCCCCACCCCCGCAGGACCGCTGGCCAACCTGCGGCACAACCTCCACGAGGTGGTGGCGTCGCTGGGCTGCACCGTGGAGCTGCAAATCAACAACACCCGAGCGGCCTGGCGTGTCTCCACAGCCCCCCTGCGTGCCGTGTTCAAGGACCTGCTGGTCAGGACCCTGCTCAGGACCCCGCGAGGGCGGCGGGGCCCCTCCCCTGGGGGCCCTCCCCGGAGCCCAGAGGCCTTGAGCTAGATGACATGTGACCCCGGCTTTACTCCTTCCCGGTGGGGGCACCACCCGCACGTTTCACAGGACTGTCTCTTCAAACACCGCAGGGTGTGCCCGGGGCCTGGGCACTGAATACTGGTAGAGACCCCCAGGCATCGCACATGCCCCTCCCCCACATTTCCAAACGCCTGACTGGATAGTCAGTCCTCTGGACAGCTGGACAGCCCCATCAGGGGACCAGGGGCCTTGGCTCTGAGGGCCTGGGGCTTTGGAGTGGGGCGTTGGAGACCGGGGTGGGGGGCTTGGGGGGACTGGGGAGTTGAGAGATGGGGAGGTGGGGGCTGAGGGGCTCAGGAACATCGAGATGGCACAGAGGTCTGGGGGACCCGCCGCATGGGCTGAAGTCCATGGACCGGCCGAGCCCTTCCCTGGCTTGGTGAGGAGTCTGGGATGGGAGGCCCGCTGGGGAGCTGGGAGCCTGGGAGGGGAGCAGAGCAGAGGCTTCCGGGGAGAGGAGAGGGCTTCTGGGGACTGGGAACAGCAGAGAACTTGTGGGGACAGGCTGTCTCGGAGCCTAGGCTCCTAAAGGCCTAAGACGAGAGCCCAGAGCTGGCCAGTGTGGGGGAGGACAGGCCGTGGAGCAGCAGAAGCTCTAAGCTCCCCCACCCCATCCACCCCCAGGGCAGCAAAGAGTCACTGAGAGCTGAGACCCAAAACATCTCCAACTCCTTCAAGGACCTGGACGCCCAGGTGAATAGTGAGACTGGCTACGCACCTGCAGATGCCGCGGGCTTGGAGGAGACAGCCCCAGGCGTGGGCGGCCACCAAGCTGTGGCCTTCAGGCACCGCCTCTCCACACAGAAGATGTTTGAGCTGAAAACCAAGCTGCGTTGCTCCTGTGAGAGGCGCCCCCTGTGGGGCAGGGCGGGGCACGTGGCGGAGCAGGCATGGCCAGGGCTCCGGGCCTGGATGTGGGCGCCTCAGACAGCCCTGGGCCTCCCCACAGACGTGGTGAACCAGGCCATACTGAGCTGCCGCCGCTGGTTTGACCATAAGCACGAGCAGTGCATGCAGCGCATCTGGGTCCCGCTCCTCAGCCACCTGCTCTGCCTGCCCATGAAGTTCAAGTTCTTCTGTGGCATCGCCAAGGGTCAGCACTGCGGCAGGAGGGCGGAGAGCTCCAGGCGAGGGAGCCGGGGCCTTGGGGGGCACGGGGTAGGTGTGGGACAGGAACGCAATCGGGTGGAGGCTTCGGGATGTGAGGACAGGGCACCCTCGGAGCCGGTCCCTCCGCTGACTGGCTCTGTGACCCAGGGGGAGTCTCTGCTACACTGCGAGCTTTGCCTCCTCCCCCGAAATGGGCATAATCCCGGTACTTCCCCCGCTGAGGGTTTTTGAGGGTTTAAAGGGATAACACATGGGAAGAAGGTAACAGAGCAGGTGCACAGAGAAGCTGCGGGGTGACTGTCACCATCGCTGTTGTCATTTGGGATGTCACAGACCGGTGAAAGACGGGAGGAGGCAGGCCTTGTTTCTCGAGAAAAGAATTTGAGGAGAGCAGAGAGGGGAAGGGCTGGGGGAGGTAGGAAGTCGCGGGCAGGGGTTTGAAAGCAGGATGGAGAGGAGCCCAGGGAGGGAGTCCTGGAGGCCAGGCCGGGGAGGCAGCCCCTGACCGGCCCCCTGCCCGCCAGTGATGGGCGTCTGGTGCCGCAGCCGCATCCCAGTGGAAGGCAACTTTGGGCAGACCTACGACTCTCTCAACCAGTCTCTCGGTGGCCTCCGTGGTGAATTTTCAGCCACTATTGACTTCAAGGTGGGAGGTGCAGGCACGGTGCGGGGTGGGGGGGAGCGGGAGGAGGGCACAGGGAATAGGGCTTGAGGAAGGCACGGGAGAGGGCACGGGAAAGAGGTGTCTGGGTGTGAGGGAGGGGAATGGTGTTGGTGATGGCGTAGGGGACAGGGAGGAGGACAGTGCCTGGCCCGTGGTGGTAGCCGTGGTCCTGACTTTGGGACTGACCGAGTGGTCAACCAGGTGTGAGACAGACAGGGCGTCAGCTCCTACCGGAGTGGGGGGCGGGGGGAGACTCCGTCACAGAGAGTAGCCAGCGGAAGGGAGCGGCAGCTCCCGCAGGCCCTGGGACAAGCCGGGGGACAGGCCATGAGCGGGGCACCGGAGACAAGCCAGGGGACAGGGCGTGCCGCGGAGAGGCTGGGCCTGGGCCCGCGAGGCTGCGGCAGGCTGGGTCTGCGCCTGTGTCCTCCACCAGGAAGAGAAGCGGGCTGGGCTGCTGGGCGTCAACACGAGCTGGGAACACGTGAGCACCGGGCTGCGGGACTACGTGAGGCAGCAGGAGGCCCAGCTGGAGTGGGGCCTCGGGCTGCTGCACGCACTGCTCTCCTGCACCTTCCTGCTCGTCCTGCATGCGTGAGCCCCGCGCCCCCGCCCCAGACGCCCCTTCCCGGGCTGGGGCTCAGGGTGGGAGCCCGGCCCTGAGGAGTCCTAGGAGGGATGGACCCGCAGAGCCCGCCCCCAACTCCCAAGGCCGACGTTCCTGTGCCTTTAACGTTGCCTTTTATAAAGGCGGGTTCGTTGTTTACACAGAGTTCAAGGAAACGTGGGCATTTTGTCAGAAGAAACGTTACCCTGGGCCCTGCCGCCTTGAAAGGGCGACCGTTTCCCTTCATCTGCCCCCTTCCAGCCTTCATCCCGATGCTGACGTTTTTACTTTTCGCTTTGACTTTTGATTTTTTTTCTTGCCCTTCATATTCCCCTTGGCTCTGACTTTGTGCCATTTTTATCGTCCAATTCTGCTTTCATTTTCTCCCGCCTGCTGCGTTGGCAGCTACTTTCCCTCCATTTGGACCAAAGTCCTCAGCCCCACCCAGCCTGGCGTCCAGCTGGGCTGCCCTGGGCCTGGCTCAGCCGCCTGGCGACCCCGGGAACCTCTTTTTCCTGTCTCCACTCCCAAATGCCTGAGATGGGCAGGGGCTGGGCGGGGACAGCCACAGGGGCTCCTGATCCGTCTGTCCCTGTGTGTAGGGTCCAGAGGGACTGCCAGTGAGTGGTTACGTGGGTGCCTGTGGGAGGACAAAGGTGAACAATCCACGTCCCTGCCCTCAAGAAGCTCATGGCAAAGGGTGGGCCAGAGAGGCGTCCACCAAACAGAGATGAGTCAAGGGCTGCAGGGCAGGTGTGGGAGCCGAGGAGACGCCCCTGCAAGGGCCACAGCTGGCCTTCGAAAGGTTGCAGTTGGGGCGCCACAGTCTCTGCGGCAAGGATGCCAGCAGCTGTGGGATGTGGTGGGCAGAGGACCAGCTGCAGCGGGCATGGCCAGGAGAGTCTGGGAAGCCCTGCAGGAGGGCCCCGAACTGGGGGCGGTGGCAGGATGGACTGGGGCAGGCTGGAGGCAGGAGTCCAAGCTGGGTCAGAGGTTAGGGAGCCTGGCTGGAGTGGGGTGTGGCAGGAAGCCGGCCTGAGAAGGATGGAGGAAGGGGTAGGTGTAGCAGTTCTCAGCGCTAGCTCTGGGAGAGAAGGAAGGGGGCACTGAGTGGGCACTTCCAGGCTTTCAACCTGGTGAGGTCACTCACTGAAGGGGCAGCGTTGGCGGCAGGGCGGGGCCCCAGGCTCCAGAGGCCCTTGCGCAGCTGCCGGAGGTCTCTCCACAAGGGGGCGCTCACAGTCTTTCCTTGCATTCATGGCTGTTTCTAGCTTAAAGGCAAAGATGTGTATGGCTTCTTACAAGGTCCCAGAACAGCACTGGAACCTGTGCTGTTTACAGAGTTTATTTAATGTAATTTTACAGTTTCATACACATTGTCAACAATTAACTTTTTTCCTTGGGAAACTGAAGTATGATGCGGGACCTTAGGAGACACACACGGTGACACGTGCACTCACATGCTCGCATGCAGCACACACAGAAAACACCGCTCTACTGAAGTCAGAGGAAGGACCTGATGGTTGGGATGAGCTTTGCTTGAAGGAACCTCCAGGAGATGTTCTGCAGTCGCAGCCAAGAAGTGGGGACGCAAGAGGGGAATGTGGGGGTCAGCGTGGATCAGGGGACTCCTGCGACCTTGAGGGGTCCCCTTTTCTTCCCTCCGCTCGGTACTCATCCTGCGAGATCCCCGCCCGGGAAGGCCTCGCCCACCTCCCGAGTACCTGCGAGATCCCCGCCCGGGAAGGCCTCGCCCACCTCCCGTGCACGCACAGGCCGGCACGCGCCTGGCGCTCCCAGCGGGCCGAGTCCCCATCGCATCTGTCCCCTCCGGTGTCTGTCTTGCACCGGACCACGAGCTTCTGGAGGACAGGACAGTCTCTTCCCGGGATGTAGATGGTGCTCAGTGGTCGGCTGAATGACTGTGCCTTACGGAAGGCCGGGGTGGGGAGCGGGTGCGGAGAACGGGAACCGAGATGGAGCCATCCGCGTCCGCAGGTCCTTTTCCTATGTGGACAGTTACAACGGGGACATTCGCTTTGACAACATCTACATCAGCACCTACTTCTGTCAGATCGACGAACGCAGGAAGAAGCTGGTGACTGGGCCCAGCCCCACCCTGCCGTGTGCCCCGTGTGGCTTCGCCCTCCAGGAGGGCAGAGGGGAGGACGAGGGGGCCCCGGAGCCCCTCATCCTACGGCTTCTCTCCCAGGGCAAACGGACTCTGCTGCCGCTCCGCAAGGCCGAGAAGAAGGCCGTCATCTTCCCCTACGACCCCACCATCCAGGCCTTGGAAATGAAGAACCTGGTGAGGCGGGCAGGGGAGGCACGGACCCGAGGGGGGGCGGGCAGAGGCGGCAGAGGGGGCTCTGTGCCCACCCCACCCCGGTGCTCTGGGGCAGATACCGGAGCTCCTGGAGACGCTGCCCGTTCTGCTGCTGCTGGCGGTGCTGTGTGGGCTGGACTGGTCCCTCTACTCCGCCTTCGACGCCATCCGCCACCATTCCTTCCTACAGTACTCCTTCCGCAGTGAGCGGCGGTCCCCCGAGACTCGCCCCCCTCGGAACTCCCACCCCTGCGCAGCCGCCCCGCCCCGATTCTTCCCATCATGCCACCTCTTCCTGGGGTCAACTCTCAGCCCTGCAACCCGACAGAGGTCACGGGTGGGGGGAGAGGGGGGGTTCTCCGCGTCCAACCCCCTTCGTGTCTGCGACAGGGAGGGATGGGAAAGCGCAGCTGAGGCCGTTCTCTGCCTTGACCTCTCCCCGTCCCCTCGGCTCTGACTTTCCTGACGCGCACCCTGCCCCACTGTGACCCTGGCCTCAGGCAGTCACAAATTGGAGGTGAAAGTCGGTGGAGACTCCATGCTCGCCCGGCTTCTCCGGAAAACCATCGGGGCCCTGAACACGTCGTCGGAGTCGGTGGTGGAATCGAGCAACATGCGTGAGTGATGCTGAGATCCGGCATCAGAGGGAATGAGAGCGAGGGAGGGGGTCTTTCCGAGGCGGAGAGTCGGGCGATTGGCCCTGGGTGAGGTGAGATGGGGAGCAGGAACTATCAGGTCCGACTCGAAGAGGTGCAGGATGACGGACTTGGGTCAGAGGCTTCTGGGGGCTGGGGCCTCAAGGCCTGGGGCGCCGTCCAACAGACCTTCCAGCTCCGATGGAAAGGTTTTACGTCTGCCATGCTAAGCAAAGAGCCACGGGGGCCTAATGCCCACAGGACGGGAAGAGCAGCTTTGCTGGGTGAAGGGCAGGCGGGAGGACAGCAAGGTATCAGGGCCCTAAGCTGTGCCCTGGCCGGGGTGGGGAATTCATCCGCCGCTGCTCTGTCCCTGGACTGGTCCAGGCCAGACGCCTGACAGGCCTGCCCCGCCGTCCCCCGCCAGCCTGCCTGCCCCAGCCCGTGTGCCTCGATGCCAGGGCCTACGTGAGGACTGCACTACCCGTCGGCCTGCTGGTGTGTCTCTGCCTGCTCCAGGCTTTCGGCTACCGGCTCCGGCGGGTCATCGCAGCCTTCTACTTCCCCAAGGTGCGCCCTCCTGGCCCGCGCCAGCCCCACGCACGCATGCGCGCACGCACCAGCCGGCACCCAGCTCCCCACCGCTGCCCTGTTTAGAGGTCGCCTTCCCGCCCCACCCCCCGCCCCGGCACTGCCGCTAGCACTGACCCCTCTCCCTGGCTCCAGCGAGAGAAGAAGCGGATCCTGTTCCTCTACAACGAGCTCCTGAGGAAAAGAGCGGCCTTCACCCAGCTGAGGAGGGCGGCCATCGTGAGGCAGGCTCAGCAGCAGAGGGCTCCAGTAAGTCCAGGCCCAGGCCCCTGTGGCTCCTGGCTGGGTCTGAGAACCCTGGGAGAAGGGCGCCTCCCTTCAGTCCACGCAGCCCCACCCAGCCCCAGGCCGCCTGATGTCCGGTGAGTCCTGCCATGATTCATGCCAAGGGCCCTGCTCTTTCATCTCCAGGAGGCCAGGGCTGTGTCCATCTCTGTTCCCCAGAAGCCAGCCCAGCCTGAGGTAGTCGGCGGAGCACCAGGAAGCAGGCAGAGAGCGGGAATCAGATTTGATAGAGTCTGGTCACGGGAAAGCCAGGGGGGTTCATCAGAAACAGGGACACCAGCAAAGCCACAGGTCACACTGAGAGGGCTGCAGACCAGAAACTCAGTGCAGTTCGGGGGCAGGGCAGGTGGCCTGGGGGTCAGAGAGCCTCGTGAACAAACACATGGTATATAGAAAGGGCATGGAGTGGAAAGAACCAGGTTCCAGTCACACTCCGGTGTGGCCTTGGCCCTGGTCCTCACTGACCTGTTTTCCCCTCTGAAGAATGGGGGTCGACAGACCTGTAGGCAGCTCACTAGGGGGCCGTAATGGAGTGGTGGTCAGGTGTGGGCTCTGCAGCCCAGGGCCTGGGTTTAAGTCTCCACTCCTCCCCTGTGACGACTGCAGGACCTTGAGCGCTTACTTCAATGCTGCTCCTTGGTTTTCTCCTTCTGTAAAACAGAGCTAACTACTCCATCTGGCTGTTGCAAGGATTAAATGAGTTTTGCTGCCGTACTGCAGGCATATGGCAGTTCTGTACACGGGCTAGTTGTCACTGTGCGACCCTAGGCAAGTGACCACCCCTCCAAGCATCCTTTTTCTCATCTGAAAAACAGATGACGATGATAACAATATCGGCCTTATGTGGTTGTTTGAATTGAGTTCATTTACTTACGGTTTCTTAGTACAGGGCCCAACGTTGTAAAAAAAAAAAAAAAAAAATGAGCGGGAGCCATTCTTATTGAATCAGCCCTAACAAAGCTCATGACCGTGAGATTTTGTTTGCTTCACGTTTTCCTCCAGTGCTAGATCCCTCACCCCGTGACGCACAATAGGGGCTGAATGAATGGATATCTGATGAAAAAAACGAACGCACTGTGAGTCCCTGGCCCTGTCCTGAAGTCAAATGCATTTCAATGGGCAGATGGAAAGGCAGTCATTCCAAGCGGAGGGAACAGAATGTGCAAACGCTCTGAGTCTAAAGGGAACGCCAGGTGCCAGGGCCAGTCGACGGGGAGACTGGCACAGGAGAGGCAAAGTTCAGGGAGGGGTCAGTGGCAGCGGAGGCTAAAAAGGACCGAGACTGTGGAAGGCCCTGAACGCCAGGCCAAGGAGTTCTGCTCCTGGCTGGCAGGCAGGGGGCTTCTGGGGTTTTTTGAGCAAAGAGTGACCTGATAAGATGGCCTGCGGAAAATTCCTGGCAATTGTGTGAAGAGAGAGGGCGCGTCAAGCACCAGCCTTGTGATCGGGAATCAGGGTCCCTGGGTCCGGCCAGGTTTGAGCGTTCGCCATCTGTGTGCCTTTGGGAAAGTCACTTAACCTTTGCGAGGTTCATCTTTCTCATCTGTAAAGTGAGGGAACGTAATAGTGACAGTCTTATCTGCCCTACTCACTTAGGGCAGATAAGACTGAACCAAATATGATGACTTATGGGAAAATGCAAATGAAGGTAGCTGCCGTCCGTCACCGGCTGGGAGAGACCAGGGCTGCATCCTCCCCTCTCCATCACGGAGTGGGGGGCCGGAGGCTCTCTCGGACCCACTTCCATAGATAGCACCCTTGCCCTCCAGGGTTCTTCACCCAGTCCAGCTTCCTCCAGCATGGGGGCATGTCACGCCCTGAGACTTCAGACAAAAGCGCTGTCCAGTTCCCCTCACGACTCTTTCTCCCCTCCTCGCTCCCCAACTGGCTCTAAACCCTCCTCGCCTCCCAACAGCGCCACCGCCTGGCGGACATTCTGCACCGCCGCTGCCCCCTCTTGCGCCCCTGGCTGCGCCGGCGCTGCGTGGTGTGCCAGGCCCCGGAGACGCCCGAGTCCTACGTGTGCCAGACTCCGGACTGCAAAGCCGTGTACTGCAGGTCGTGCTGGGACGACATGCGGCAGCGGTGCCCCGCCTGCACACCCCGCGAGGAGCTCTCCTCCTCCGCCTTCAGCGACAGCGACGACGACGTTACCTACGCGGAGTGAAGGGGCGTCCTGCTCGCTCTCCCACCTCGCTCCTTCCTGTTTAATAAAATGCCGCGTACACTCCTGCTGCCCGCGCCTCTCGGGTCTGGTACGGGTCCGGGGGCGGGGGGAGCGGGGCGGGGAGCCGGGCGCGGCCTGCCCAGTCGGCAG